TGTTTGATATAATTATTAAAGAAAAATGGACAAACTATCAGTACATTTTTTACTGATGGGTCAAAAGATGCAAATGGAACGGGCTGTGCAATGTTCCACGAAAATAAAAATTACCATCACCAGTATAGCTTACCCAGTGAATGCTCAATATACACAGCAGAAATGATGGCAATAATGTTTGCTCTTCAGTATGTAGTACTGAAGCCGTCTAGCAACTATGTTATATTTACTGACAGTAAAAGTGTGGTCGACAGATTCAACAACATTCAAACAGCTAAACATATAAACCACATTGAACTGAAAATTCTAAAAATTCTTTCTGAAACCATACAATTAGGACTAAATGTAATAATTACATGGATCAAGGGCCATTCAGGAATAAAAGGCAATGAGATTGTTGACAATTTAGCTAAAACAGCATATATGCTTGGAGAAAAAGTAAACAAAAATTTAATTCCAGCGACAGATATTGACACCGTTAGTAGACAAAAACTTAAAAATAATTGGCATTTACATTACAGAGAATGTAAGACGGGCTTAAACTTTTATCATTGTAACACTAGGATACCCTCAAGAAGATGGTTTTACACAGAATCTAATCGACATTTTATAAAGACCATTAATCGGCTGAGAGCAAATCATGCTCTCACGCCATCTTACATGAATGGAATCGGCTTATCAAATACTCCCAATTGTACTTGCGGCAAAATAGGCGATCTAACACATATTATATATTAGAATGTGATTTACAAATGAATAATATAAACGAACTTTATAAGGAATTAATAAATTCTAAGTGTTGTTTTCCAATAAACCTTAATATTTTACTATTTTCAAATAATATGGAAATTCTTCATTGCATTTACAAACATGTTAAAATATGTAAATACAAGTTGTAAATAGTATATAGTCATAATCTGTTAATATGGTTTGAAAAAAAAAAAAAAAAAAAAAATTAAGAAAATAGATATAGAACAAAAACAAAAGATAAATACAAAAAAAAACAACAAAAAAAAAAGAAAAAAAAAACAATACAAAAAACAAAAAAAAAAACCAAAAAAAAAAAATTAAACAAAAAAAAAAGAAAAACCAAAACAAAAAAAAAACAAGAAAACAAAAGAATAAAAAAACAAAATAAAAATATATCAAAACAAAGTTTATGTATATATAAAAATATTAGGCATATGTAGTAATAATATTGATAACTGATAAAAAAATTTTGACTATGAATCTGCAATCTATAATAATTAAAATTCTGTCGATTTTAACAATCAACACAAACAAGTCTGGCTAATTGGCTCTGCCAAAGCCATTTTTCAGAAAAAAAAAAAAAAAATACAACAAGCTTTAGAAGTCACCAAGTCTAGAGACGTTACAATATTCATGGGAAATCTGAATGCAAAAATCGGTAAAGGAAGTCAATGTGATTGTATTGGAAACTTTGGTACCCGTAACGAGAGAGGAGACAGATTGGCTCAACTCTGCCAAGAGACCGATTTTATTGTCGCGAATACTTATCATCTGCCACCCAGGAGACTCTATACATGGAAATCTCCAGCAGAGAACCAACATAATATCATCAGAAACCAAATTGACTACCTTCTCATGTGCAAACGATACCGAAATTCCATAAAATCAGTAAAATCATACCCCTGAGCTGATGTGAGATCAGATCACAACCCAGTTGTAGGAAGGTTTAGAATTAATCTAAAAAAGCTTGTGGCTAAAACTAAAGTAGAGAGGATACAAGTATCACGTTTGAAAGATCCATCAACAAAAGAGCAAGTCACACTAAAAATTAAAGAAGAGCTCACCAAAATAGAAATTATTCCTACTGAAGATGCGAACAGGAAATGACATATATTAAAAGATGCTCTTATACGCCCATGTGAGACAACACTAACACCTAAGCTGATCAAGAACAAACAAGAATCGAATACCGATGAGATTCTGGATCTCATGGAAGCAAGAAGATCCTATAAAGCCAAAGACAAAAACATGTATAATATTATACACACAGAAATAAGGAGAAAGATCAGAGATGCAAAGGAAAGATGGTATAGTGACAGATGCGAAGAGATTGAACAGTTGGTGTTCAATGATAACTTAAACCTTCATAAAAAACTTAGGGAAACAACAGGCACTAATATTAAGAAAAAATCAGACATACTGCTGGATAAAAACGGCAAAATAATTATAGACGTCGGTGAAAGGCTTAAAAGATGGCAGGAATATATTCAAGAGCTATTTAAAGACGAACGGACTGAGATAGTACTAAAGCAGGAAAAGTTCGACACCTGCCCAGACATAACAGAAGATGAGGTATTAGAGGCGATAAAGCGAATAAAGAATAACAAGGCAATAGGTTCTGACGAAATACCTGTAGACATAATACGTTTAATAGAAGAACAGCAAATTGGAATATTGCTCGACTTATTCAATACAATATACAGTACAGGAATCATTCCCAGAGATAGGCTGATATCAACATTCATAACACTACCAAAAAAAATCCAAATGTAAAAGAATGCCAAGACCACCAGATAATAAGTTTAATGAGTCATAGGCTCAAAATATTTTTAAAAATTATACACCGGAGAATACACAACAAACTTGAGCAGGACCTAAGTGATACACAATTTGGATTTAGAAATGCACTGGGAACGAGGAAAGGCCTGTTCGCTGTGAATGTACTTGTGCATAGGTGTATAGATGTTAATAAGCCAGTATATATGTGTTTTCTTGGATTACAACAAAGCCTTCGATAAGGTCAGACAACCGTCTTATAGAATTACTTGAAAAGAAAAACTTAGATATGAGAGACATCAGGATCATTAGCGCTATCTATTATAATCAGATCGCTGTGGTAAAAGAGAACAACGTCTTTTCAAATGAAATACAGATTAAGAGGGGCGTCAGGCAGGGTTGTGTCCTGTCTCCTACTTTGTTTAATTTGTATTCAGAGGAAATAATCTAGCAAGCACTAGAAGAACTAACTGTGGGAATAAAGGTAAATGGCCGACCAATCAATAATATATGGTTTGCCGACGACACTATTTTATTAGCGGAATATCTTGAGGACATACAACAAATGGTTGACAGAGTGGTAGAAGTCAGTGAAGAAAACGAACTGTCCCTAAACACAAAAAGACACAATTTATGGTAATTACAAAAGCTTAACAGCGCCAAGAAAACATAACAATACATGGAGAAATTTAAAAAGTCGAAAAGTATAAATATCTGGGTACAATAATTAATGACAATAATGAGTACACAGAAGAGATTAAGGCAAGAATAGGACAGGCAAGAAATTCTTTTTATTATTTGATGAAGAGCTGTTAATAAAAATCGTAGAGTGGACAAACCACAAAGCTGCTTTAGATACGTAGTGAAAACCCTAATTTAAAAAAATATTCCTTTTTAACACGCTGGATTGACATAAATATTAACGACTTAAAAAATTTTTGGGTCTCTACATATTAATGGGAAACATAAAACTTCCCTCCTGACGTTTATACTGGAGCACAGATCCACTATATCACTTTTCAATATTTGGGAAAACTATGCCCAGATCAAAGTTTGAAATTATTCTTCAAAATATTAGTTTTTACAAGCCGGAAGACGTAGAAGTTTAAGATCGACTTAAAATTAAAAACGTTATGAGTCGTATTATAAATAATATCTCTAAAATCCACAAGGAAAACAATTCCTGTAGCTGGCTGTATACCACGTATAACAAAAAAGAGGTTAGTCTTTGTAAGTGGGTATATTTATTTAAAAACCCTTAAAAGGGCTACATCAAAAAAACAAACGTTTTCGGACTAAACAGTCCATCATCAGGTTTAAAATCTGCTAGGTTAAAATCCCTGAGCCACCAAAAATACATGGGTAAAAACCCTTTAAATTACTTATAGTTATAAAAGATTATACATCTTGTTGTTAAAAAACTGTGATGTTCATTATTAAATTAAATATGACTTCAGGTAACATACATTGCAAAAAGTTTTGAGTTCCAGAGCCGGGGAGAAAACCTCTACGCACGGAGAACAGCTGAAACAGTTTCCAGCTGTTCTCCGTGCGTAGAGGTTTTCTCCCCGGCTCTGGAACTCAAAACTTTTTGCAATGTATGTTACCTGAAGTCATATTTAATTTAATAATGAACATCACAGTTTTTTAACAACAAGATGTATAATCTTTTATAACTATAAGTAATTTAAAGGGTTTTTACCCATGTATTTTTGGTGGCTCAGGCATTTTAACCTAGCAGATTTTAAACCTGATGATGGACTGTTTAGTCCGAAAACGTTTGTTTTTTTAATGTAGCCCTTTTAAGGGTTTTTAAATAAATATACCCACTTACAAAGACTACCCTCTTTTTTTTAATATCTCTAAAGTTTATTATCAAGGAGAGAACTTTAGTCTTGACGAAGCCCTCTTTCTGCAATTAAAATCTAAATATAAAACAGGCAGCACTGTAGAAAATTTATTAATGTAATCGTAGAATAAACTATTATAAGCTTTGTAGTGAAATATTGTAGTTTTAGAAAAAATAAACTTATGATTAAAAAATAAAAATTAATACATAAAGATATTTATAATATAAAGTGTTGCGCCATCTCCCCATCAATTCTCAAACCATAAGAACACAGTCCTATTGAGATAAAGAAACCAATGCCATCAGTAAAACAGGAACTCAGCTTCATTTGGTGATCGTCGTGATATAGTAGAAAATTCTACTATAGAGGTCAGTAATATTTAATACTGGATGCTTGCACTTTGCAACTCTGGTAATTTGTAATGATTTATTATTGAAACCAACTAATGAATTAAAGCTCCAAGAAGGGGTATATTTCTTTCCAAGGACCAAATCACAAATTTAAAAATAGTAATAGAAGTGTCATCTATTATTTAAAGGACCAGTTTAAAGTTGCTGGTTCCATCTATACTAAATTATCTCAAGTTAGAAAGGTATCTAAGTAGTAAGAATATTAACAGCTGATTTAATCCCAGACTTTACATTTTATTTTACAATTAATATATGCAATCAGTTTAATTATCAACATTAGTTTCAAAATATTTGCTAAAATATTACCTCATCCTTGTTTAAAGTAAAGAAACAATTTAAACCTTATATTTTCGTTACTGATTGCGTCCTAACCTTATTTCAACATACTATAAATAAATAATACTCAATCTAAACAAATGTGGAATTAGTGAAAACTGATTAAATGTTTTTCATATTATGCTGAAGAGAATGACTGAAATAGACGTGAAACAAGGTCTTAAGTTGGTTTTATCAAAAATTGAGGAAGCATCCAACAAAAGAAGTGCTGTAAGTAATTGACACATTAAAAATGTTTCTTGTTTGGTTTTACTTTTATGTATATGTCTATGTAAGCCAGGATATCAATTTTTGGACGCATACCTTCCAATCATTTTTATATCCTTGTTTTTTGGTTAGATTCATTAAGCTGAAATCAGTTTGGCTTTGGAAGTCTGCATCTCATGTTCTCATGTATCTCATGTTCTTCAAGTTGTATCAATCATCATAGGTATGCAGATCTTGTGGATCGTCACTTTAAATAGCTCTGCATTGTTGCATCTAATCCATTTCCTCAGATCTTTAATCCAGAATATTCTTGGTCTTCCCACTTTTAGTCTGGAGTAACTATAGCCTAAGATCCCACTGCTAGATCACTACATTCATAATGTAGTTAATCAAACTAACAGTTGTACATACATTTAAAATTGGTAGGATACAGTGATAATGGGTTGTCAGTCAACAAGTGGCCAGAAATATTTTTAATTCAATTAATAGTAATTAATTATTGACAAAAACAATTGTTTTGTTCATTCTTTTATAAATAAAATATGCTGCTCCTGGCACATATATGCATGTTTTTTGTATCAAATTAAAGCTAATTTTTTTCTTAATATGTTGATATAAGTTTAAAACTTTATTATTCTAATAATAATATATTCCAATAATGGCATAACTTTGATTATTTGGTAAACCAAAAAAAATAATTAAAATGTGCTTGTTAATAAGTTCAGAGTACGATATTATATTCTGTACGGTACCAAAAACTTGTTGAGCAGCTCTGACATAATAGAGCAGTAAATAGATACTTACTTCACTTACTTGGTCCACTAGTAATAAAGTTATCAGCATTAAATGGTAAAGTGGTTTTCACATCTAGCTTTGACTTTATCTCAGACATTGTGTTGGTATGTAAAGAACATCCTGTTACTTAGTGTTCACTCATTAGTTTTCCATATCAATGTGTTCTTTATTATTAGAATGATCTAAGACCTTTTATAGTTTGAACCTCAGGTTATATTTAACAATCATTAAATCATAGATGGAATTTTTTTATACTTAATCTGCATTATTTGTAGGAATTACAAGTTTTAGAACCAAGGTTAGTAGCTGTAAGTAAAACAAAACCAGCAAACTTAATTGTAGCAGCCTATGAAGAAGGCCAAAGACATTTTGGAGAAAACTATGTCCAAGAACTAGAAGAGAAAGCCAACAATCCACTAATTTTAGAGAAATGTAAAGAAATAAAATGGCATTTAATAGGTCACCTCCAATCAAATAAAGTTAACAAAGTACTATGTCTTCCCAATTTGCATCTTATAGAAACAGTTGATTCTCAAAAGTTAGCATCCACACTTAACAAAAGCTGGCCAAAATTTGGGTCACCTGAATCAAAATTAAATATAATGATTCAGGTGAATACCAGTGGAGAAGATGGTAAGACAATAAATCACGATTTGACTATTATTAATGGTTAATAAAAGTAATAGGTTCATAGTTTCATTTACCATTCTTATACCTTGCTTCTTGTTCATCATCTTCCTTTCAGATTCAGTTTTGTTTTTTTAGTCTTCTCATATTCTTGACTTCTTTTTTATTTTGTTTCATGTCTTTGTTATTGTTTTTCTTTTCACTCATTCAACAATTACCTTGTTTCTTGATTGCAAGCAATTTGTGCATCTACCAACTCTATATTCTTACCTATAAGACTTCCAAAATTTTAAGACCATACCTGATTTTTCTAACCTATAATCTATAATGGTGTTTGCTCTGAAATAGTCATCAATATGGCTACTTATAATCAAACCGGTAACTTTTGCAAATATTTATTTTTTTAATATCAAATATGTCATTTACTTATATATTAAATATGATGTTTACTGTTTAAAAAATGTCATATATTCTTTTAAATATTTGTCATGCAGTGTAACTTCACACCTGTCAAATACTTTCGTGGTTTTATTTGAGCAACAATATCTTCTTTGAAAACCAGTCATATTTATATGTTGTTTTGACGAGGATGCAGGACTTATTGCAAACGTTTGACATCCAATAAAAGGAGATGGCTTGTCGTAATTGGACAATAATGTTCGAACAATCATTCAGTGAAATATAAGAAAATGTAGCAATGAAGTAAGACGAATGTATTGGCTCCGAATTTTCACAAAAAGGTTGAAGTGTTCTTCAAATCAACTTTTTAGAGCAGCTGGCAGCACTTGTTGTCCATGCTTCCTAGCCTTAAAGAAAAGTAGTGAATATGTTACACCAAAGCATTCTTAGGCGTTCTCCTAACATTATGTCAAATTCATCCTTGGTCCATATTCATGACAGCATTTAAGACCAGTATTTGTCTAAATTGTCATTATGAATTAGGTAAAAAGGTTAAATTAAATTACTTTTTTGTATAACCCAGTAATAAATAAAAATTTTTAATTTGTATTTTGAGAACAATTTCTGAAGTTGAAATGTCCGATTTTACAATAGGTGCATTGGTAATAATCTAATAACATGTTGTGAGTGATCAATATCGTAACTAACAAATTTATTGTTTGTAGAAAAAAGTGGAATTCTTCCAACACAAGTATCTGATGTAGCTCAATTTGTTTTAAAAGAATGTACCAATTTAGAATTAAAGGGACTAATGACTATAGGTAAAATAGGGTATGATCCTGCTGATGGGCCCAATCCTGATTTTTTACGTTTGAAGCAATGCCGTGATGATCTTTGTCAGAATTTAGGTCTCGATTGGAAAAATATTGAATTGTCTATGGGGATGTCGACTGATTATGAACAAGCGGTAAGTAGGTTTGAATACATGTTTAATTTTTGTATATTCGTTTGAATATTATATCCATATTTGTCAAGTGGAACTGTCAATATATAACCTAAATATTTGTAACTACAAATTACAAAACAATGGTTGGTAAATTGAAAGGTAAAAGGAATGAAAAAAGGAGAACTACAGTACAGCGAGCAAGAAGTGGCTACTTCCACTCATCTGTGCATAATTTCCGAATGAGGTGTTGCTGCCTTAAAAACTTGGTTGTGATTTGATTATTACGAAAATAATGTACAACTACGGTCACTGAATAGTTTACAACCCTATTTTTACATTGTAATACTGTACGAAACACAGTGGTGTTTAACCACATGGCAAATTGCTGCAGATTTGAATGTGAGCCATTTTCATAAATGGGAATATGGAAAATAAAACACAGATGGAAAATCAAGAGACTTCTTCTGGGTGCCACACTGTTAATGAACGTCACTTTGACGTAAAGCGTGCGTTTAAACGAGGTAAAACTTCAAAAAGTTGGCTGCTAGATATGTAAGGGTGTAAACTATTTAATGCCTGTAGTAATACATTAAATATTAGTATTTTAGGTAATATTTACACAAAGAATGTGGTTAAGTACAAAAGGAGTAGAAAGTTAAAATCTTTCTTCACACCGAAAAATTGTTAGTCTTGGTCGCTATGGATGTCTCATCTTCCTTGGTAGCAGTTCTCCATGGTTTTTATGTCTTGATGAAATCTCTCACCTTGCTTATCATTTGTGTCACCTAAGTTTTTAGGAAAATGGTGCAGGTGGTTGTGAAGATAGTGGAGTTTGATCCTGATATTACATCCAAGCGATTGGGAGATATTCAGCAAACAGTTTACCAGCTCAGTATAGTTTGGACTTTTGTGATTTCCTGAAAATTTTTCATAATGTCCACAAATTAAAGCCAAGCTTTTTTCTCTACCTCTTTCATTGACCTCACAAAACCCAGATCCTTTGTAAGAAGTCTGATCTGTGGTCCATCAAAGATTTTAGCTTTCCAAGTTTTTCCGTACTTATATGAGCAGCTTCCTTCCTATATAGGCGAAGCATGGTCCATTAGAATCAAGTGTCTTAGCGAATTTCTTCATTAGGTCTAGCTTAATATGGAGTGGTGGTAAGTATATTTTCTCTGGTTCAACTAAAAACTGGGCAATAATGTTCTTTTGTGCAATTACTTCTTTTGGGCAAGTTTTTTTCTCAATGGTCATCCTTTTTTAATTGTTAATCCAGTAGTTTTTTCGGTCCCTACTATCCCAAAGGCACAAGAAACAAGGATATTTTGTATAGCCGCTTTGCTGCCGAAGAAGAAAATTTAACATTTTCAAGTCTACACAAATCACCCAGATGTTCCTGGCATTTTATCTTCTGTAAAATTAAAGCTATATTAGCATATTCTTCTTTCATCACGGTTTAGTGAGCAATTGGTATTGAGCCAAACTTGTTTCTATTGTGAAGCAGAACACGTTTCAAACTGCGCTCGAAGCTATAAATAAACAAACGCCATTTATTTGCATCGTAATGTGGAAGTCCCATTTTCTCTAAGAGCTTTTTAACGTCCAAACAAAAAGTAAGGTTTTCTTCTTGGTTAAAGAACGGTAGCAGTTCCTTTTTCGCCTTGTTCTATAAGAAATAATTTTTGTGCATTGTTCCAGTAAATATTTATCATTCAATCTTGAAACCAGAAGTCCCGACGCTTTCTTCGATAAGGCTAAATCTCAAACGAGATCGCTTAGTTCTTTTTGACTAAATAGTTGTGGGTTTGCTGTTGCCCAGTCCTAATCACTGTCACTGTCTTTATTGGAGTCAGAAATGTGTTCAAAAATGTCACCTTCATAATCACAAATGTCAGGTTACTTTTGGAGTACTGGGAATTCCTCTGAGTGGGGCACTGGCTGAAGGCAAATGAGGATATGACCACTTTTGGCGATTGTTTCTATTGATCCCTGAAACACTGATCAGGCAAAAATAATAGTCATCAACGTGGTTTGTAGGTTCTCTCCTTTCCCAAACTAGGAAAATATGTGATACAACTCTTTGAACAACTCACAAAAATTGGAGGTTATGTACATTTGTAATGAATATCTAAACAGGCCTGACAACAACAAAGGCAATAATATCAGCAGTAAACACCATCAACAATACCATCTAGCAGATACTTATTGAAATAATTTTACTAACTGAGCCTAGTCATCAACAAATAGTGATTTGCGCTAATAGTGATTTTGAAGCACCTAGCATTTTATTAGGTGGAGGCTGAATGGATTTACAAGTGGTAAATGTATCATTTTAAAAGTTTAAAAATACTTTCCAAGCTGTTTTATTTCCTTATACAATAGTAAGTATGTAATGTAGCATAGTGTGACGTCTTTTTATTGCTCTAATTTATTTGTCTTTATTCTAATTTATTAAAACTCACGATAACTAATTACGAATTTATTAAAGTCTTTATTAATCCTAATTACAAATAATTTATTAACGTTTCGTTACATTTAAATATCGCGGTTCGCGAGCTTCTTATAACTGACCTCTTCAACAAAATTTCGTCTTTATATAAAGCACCGTAAGGCCGCCTAGACCTGACCTGACTCTTGTAGAAAATACTGGAATGTGACGTCATATTGGTATTATAGCCGAGGGAGACCCCATGGATGTTGACCCGCTTCGTGACAATGAACTTCCCATTCTCGAATGAACTGGAACTGGTTTGTTTTTATAGCGGCTCGGCTGATTTTCGTCAGGTAGTTATACCTAGAACATTCATGAATGAATAAAAACATATTAGTAAAATATATTTACGATTTTGGGTCAGAATTTATCGTAACATTGCCCCCCTCTTAAAAGATGGTTCCTCCTGGAACCTTGTCGGGACTGGAACTGGAGCGGCATGCTGATATCGGCAACTGGACCCTCTTTTACACCTTCCAGTTGTATAGAAATGACAAGGGACGGTTTTCTCTCCGCACCAGTAACTATGCGGATTGCAACAGACTAACACCTGGACTTCGGTGTCTTTAAAGATTTCCTCCACCATGTTTCGTATAACCCTCCAATCTAATTGGTGGCACTCTAACTTTGGCATGGCTAACTTTTGCACGTCGGACTCTAGTACGTGCTCTCTCAACTGAAGTAAGGCTTCCCATACATCTCGGTAGGTAGGTTGGTCACGGGCAGTGTCTTTTGTTACCAGGTAGAAAAGGTAACGTGATGCATCTTGAAGTTTCAAGGTTTTACCAGGAGCTGGCACTTGGCATTGAAGTTCTGCAACTCGACCAAACTTCCTTCGAAAGATGGATGCCAACCCTGGTGCATCTTTGATACTGGCCGGGATGGTAAGGGCCAGTGAATAGTCATCGGGAAGCGCGAGTAGATCTTGCCTTTCTTCAGTGGTAACACCATGTCTTGCTTTACCGGTACCTCCATAGGCACCCATGAATTCCTCAAACGTGAGGTCAGACACATCTTGGACTTGGTTTACTTCCACTTCTTCATCTACGTCGTGGTCACCCTCGAAAGACGCCAACCGGTTATGGTGTACTATCATCGGCTTTCCTCTCGGGATCTTGCTTATTCGGTAAATAACATCATTGATCTTCTCCATAATGAGGTATGGACCTTCCAAAACTGCTGCAATTTGGGAGAACAACCTTTTCGCTTTTTGGGGTTATAAAGCCAGACTTTATCGTTCTTCTTAAAACACCCCTTTTCGGCTTGTGTATCGTACCGTTTCTTCATTCGGTCACTAGCGATTTGGAGATGGGAACGGACCAACTCGTGTACATCGTCCATTCTTCTTCGCAATTCGATCACATAATCTTCACCTGCTACATCTTCTCCAGGTCGACACCCAAACTCTAGATCACAAGGTAGTCGCATCTCGCGTCCGAATAGGACTCTGGCTGGTGTCTGGCCTGTTGATTCATTAACAGCAGATCTGTAGGCCATTGTGAAGAACGGGAGATATTGGTCCCAGTCTCGCTGATGATCGGACACCATCTTTGTCAAATACTTGCCAACTGTTCTATTCATTCGTTCTACCATACCATCCGATTGCGGATGATAAGCCGTAGTTCTTGTTTTCTTCATACCTAGTCTATCACATATTCCTTGGAATAAATCGCTTTCGAAGTTCCTGCCTTGGTCACTATGGATCTCCAAAGGCACTCCAAATCGGCTGATATATTCTTGGATCAACTTATCTGCGACGGTGGCCGCCTTCTGGTCTGGAAGTGCGTAAATCTCGACCCACTTAGTGAAGTAATCCATTACTACCAACATGTACTTGCCTCCATTATCACTTTCTGGAAACGGCCCAGCAATGTCCAAAGCTATTCTTTCAAACGGGCTTCCAACATTATATTGTCTCATAGGAGCTCTCCTTTTTCGATAAGGCCCGTTACTCGTAGCACAAATAGTACATTTCTTACACCAGTCTTTTACATCATCGGAACTGTTCATCCAATAAAACCGTTCCCGAATTCGCTGAAGGGTCTTCTTCACACCAAAATGCCCTCCTGATGGACTGTCGTGTAACTGACGAAGTACTTCGGCTATTCTGCTCTTTGGAATCACCAACTGTCTTCTCTTCTCTGAACCGTCATCATTTTCCAGGACTCGTTTGAGCAAGCCATCTTCCATGATAAATGAGTCCCACTGGGCCCAATACGTCTTCACTACTGAGCCTAGGTTCGATATTTCTTGCCAAGGTGGTCGACGGTTTTCCTCTTTCCATTTTCGGATTTTCTGTATAACTGAATCTCTCTCTTGTTCTTCCCTGATCTTGGTAGGCGTCCAGTCGTCGTGAACCACCGTCGTTCTTAGCACTGCTGCTTCCTTGGATTCTGTTTTGTTGCAGTGAGAACACTCTGCTGGGCATGGCCTTCTGGAAAGAGAATCAGCGTTTCGGTGGCTAACTCCGGCCCGGTGCTCAATCTTAAAATCATATTCTTGGAGTCGCTCGATCCACCTGGCTATCTGA